CTACTTCCATAATTATATGAATTAAAATAACATATTGAGTCGTTTATAATTTGGATTAAAAATATTTCATTGTCACTTGTCTTCCTACTTTAAAACATATAAAACTTCTCGACAAGTCGCCTAGGAATGCTTTTGACAAAATTGACATTTAAAACTGTTCCTTATTAAATTCGATCGTATAATTATAAATTAAAGTAACCTCAAGGTATTTTAAAACTAACCTCAGTACGCTTTTGTTCACAATGTAGCTGCTTCGTTTCTTCAAGTTTCCTGAGAATATTCGTCCAGTAAGTAACAGTATAAATCTTATAATATTTGTGGTGTTACTCCGAGTGTATATCCACACCGGGCGAGCTTGAAAAATATGCCCGGCCACGGTGGGATTCGAACCTACGACCTTTGGAATACTAGCCCAATGCTCTTCCAACTGAGCTACGCGGTCAGGACCGCGTAGCTCAGTTGGAAGAGCATTGGGCTAGTATTCCAAAGGCCGTAGGTTCGAATCCCACCGTGGCCGGGCATATTTTTCAAGCTCGCCCGGTGTGGATATACACTCGGAGTAACACCACAAATATCATATTCACCTGAGTACACTACACCAACACAGAAAAAAAAATTTAAAAAAACAGTATAAATCTTGTATATTTTAAGTTGATTTTGTGTTGAGTTTCGTGTTGATAAACAAAGTCTAACCTCTGTACGCTTTTGTTCACAATGTAGCTGTTTCATTTCTTCAAATTTCGTGAGAATATATTATTCGTCCAGTGACAGTAATTCTTGTATATTTTGAGTTGATTTTGTATTAAAGTGGCAAAACGAGCTCGCTTTGATAAACAAAGTCTGAGACTGAGGCTTTCCACTCCTTCAGAGTTGTAAATCCCGTTTCGCGGCGTTATAAAACCATAATACTCCAAATTTTTGCTCAAAATTCTTCTTGTAAGCTTCTATCGTTGTGATTGTAAAATTGGCTCGATCGAAAACGTAGCCAAGGCAAAAAACGCGAAAAACTACCGTCTGTAATACAAATCTATACAAAAGTGGGGCCCCAGAATCGGGTGGCGGCCGGTGACTTCCGCCTTCACTTTTGTATACTATAGATGCGTTATCCAGTCTTATTTCAGATCAGTGTTTGCTCGCCGCACCATAGAGATTATAAATAACACTAGAGGAGGCATCGAGTTTAAAAATTGGGAACGCAGCTAATGGGGGGCAAATTCAAGTCCCGGATATAAAATCGTGCTCTCATTGGCTGATTTGAAACTCGTCACCAATGGGAACACGAATACACATCCGGGACTTGAATTTGCCCCCCAATAGTCGCGTTCCCTTTTTTTTACTGAATTAAGATTACAATGCCTCCTCTAGTGTTATTTATAATCTCTATGCGCCGCACACGAGAATTTTTTTGTCACGAATGACGAAAAATATCAAACATGTTTGATATTTGGTTTACATGTCACGAATGACGAAAATGCCGTAAATGTTGCCCGCACACGAGGAAATTTTGTCGATCCAACTTGTCACGAATAACAAGTATCCCGCTCGTGTGCGGCGGGCTTTATGGAATGGGTCAGCATTTCCATTTCCAACACAGTTTCTGAGATGTAATTCAAGAGGTAACTTATCATTGCATTTGAACTATAATTATATCAGTTGGTGTTATTCTGTGCGATAAGCAAGTATCATTGGAAAGAGGGCTGCCATATACGTTGAAATCACCAAATAAACAGCTTATGAACACATTTCTCCACTTCGTCGTAAGTTTACAGAGCAGATAAGTTTACAGAGCAGATGATCTTTGTCTTTGATGTTATTTAAGATTGATCCTGTCGTAAGTCTTCTACCAGCAACCAATCGACAATATTTCATTTTAGCGTTGTCTTTGCCGTTACGTTGGCTTCGCATTACTTTTGTTTTAAATACCTTGATCGCGTTAATATAGTTATTTTTCAGGCCAGTGACATAGTCAAAAGACTTGTCTTAGCATTAACTTCCTTGTGATTTAACAGAGATATCGCTAAAACTGAGGATTTTAGAAGGCGTTATCTATACCTTCTCAAAGTTGTAGACAAGATATGTTGTTTACGTCCAACACGCATAAGATTACATAACTCAAAATGATTCGAGCAAAACGGTCTTTTGTTAAAAGGAAGACTGCATGTGGTTAATAGAAATTGGTCGTTTTAAGTGATATAATCATGTGTCGTCATTGATCCGTGTCGTTGAACAATGAAAAAATTTGTTGTGAAATTAGCGAAGATAAAATAGCAGTTGGTGAGAAAACTGCGGGTCTACGGTGTGGGAAGTTTTCGGATTAGAACTTAGCGTGTTCGAAAGTGTTAGTTCCCATGAAAATATTTCAGTTCCAAGACATGCTTAATGAAAGTGAACGATAACGGGACGCAGCAAACGGCTTATATTATACCAACTGTGGATTAATATAATTTTGGTGAAAATTTTCTTATTCAATTTTATTTTTTAAGGACCTCTGGTTCGTATAAAACAAGCATTGACACGTCTCAAGTCTGATGTTTCGCAAATGGAACTACGAATTGGCGTAGTAAGTGGACTTTATTTGCATTACATATCGGCTTTTTTTCAATTTCATGTATATGGTTTTCTTCAACGCATGCATATCTTTGACTCGTGGGTTCGATAATTTCGTTTCATTCATTCAGAAATTGCCGGGACGTGTTATTTAATTTTAGCCTCCTATACCTAAATGGGTTGAGTGCACGCGGCCCCAAATTGTTACTGTCATGGGCGTACCGGAAGGAAAAAATTAGGGGGGCGGAAAGAAATTTGCCCGACTTTTTCGGATTGTGCCCAACCAGTGCCGAAAATTTTTTTTCCGTAACAAATTAATTTTGGCGACCTCCCCCGCCAAAAAAATTTCGGTGGGGTCCAAAAACCATTTTAGGGGTCCAAAAAATTTCCGGACATACCAAAATTTTTCGGAACATCATACAAATTTTCCATACATTACAAAATTGACCACAAAATTGACAGAATTTCCCACAAAATTGACATAATTTGTCCCATTTATTTTTATAATAAGCCAATATTGCCCGACTGTGGAGCGAATATTGCCCGACTGGCTTTGTTTGCCCAACAAACTGGGGGGACTGCCGTCCCCCCCCCGGTACGCCCATAGTTACTGTAAACAGTAAATGCTATTCATTTGACGTATTTTACAGGTGGAGCAATCCTTGACAAACGCTCGTCTGCGAGATAAAAATGCTCTCCAAGAAAATATGCAAGCAACAACTACAGATTCCCATTTTGGAGATTATAAAGTATTTTAAATGGATAGATTGCGTGTACATTAACTTTATTTAAACTGAATCGTAGTGTATTATTGTAAATATTTAATGTGAAAATATTTGTTCATACCATAACACATACTAATCTCGTATGGTCGTTGCTAATGTAGATAGAGATTACAAGAAACAGCATCTTTATTAGCACATACAAGTACAAGTATACCTAAAAATACAATCAGAACTTTTGACGTTTCGAGCGAAGTTCCTTCGTTGGGAAGTTAACGTTAGTAGCGAAGGGCATTCGGCTTCGCTCCAAACGTCGAAGTTCTGATTGTATTTTTTCGGTAGTTTGCATCTCCTACATAACGCTGCATAAACATATACAGCTAATTCAAAAAAGGTTGTCCTTTGCAAACCTTAAACTCTTAACCTTAAACTCTAAGCGCGCAAAGCTTATTGGAAGCACAAGTTTCAAACTTATAGTAGTTGAATATTGCAGCTGTTTGTGAATGAATTGTTCTCGTAAGGAGATATCAGTACCATACCTGTAAAGGCCTGATTCCACGGGCGCTTTTTCTCGGCGAAATGCGAAATATTTCGCCTGTTTCTTTTGAATTGCGACCACTCCAATAAATTATTTCTACTTGATTGCCCACAATTCAAAAGAAACAGGCGAAATATTTCGCATTTCGCCGAGAAAAAGCGCCCGTGGAATCAGGCCTTAAGAAATGGCCCCATATGATTTCTAAACTGATGAAATGTGCTCCCATTATGCTTTGCACGCTTAGAGTTTAAGGTTTGCAAAGGACAACCTTTTTTGAATTACCTGTAAAACTGGATACAATATAGTTTAAAGCAGTATAGCTGTTGTACCCATGCGCTTTGGTTTGTTTACGTCACTTTAAGCGCACATAGCGCTGGGTACGAGGCTGGCAGTATAGGCATATAGCTCGTTCGACAAAATTTGGTGTTACAATGTTAATGCGACGTAGTGCCCAAATATTTGGTGAACTGTCCATAGGCATTGATATACTCATCAAGTATAAGACGTAAGTCACAATAACCCGTTGGTGATTGGTTCGGCTTAATTTGAAAACATTAGAAATATGCAAAAGCGGCCTCGGTTTGCCCGTTCGAGCTACAAATTGACCTTAAAAATGTCAAATTCATTTGGACGCCCTCTCTTCTCCCGCCCGCACTAAACGCCTGCTATGCAGGCTAATTTGGAATGAGCCTGCCACGCAGGCTAGTTGAAATGCGGAAAATCGACTTGACCGCTTTTCAAAGCCACATCTTTTTTACTGCCGGCAAATTAACACGGGAACCATCAATTAGGTGTTTAATTAAGGGTCACGGTCACCTCTACAGTTACCTTCAATACGGCCACCTCATCAAATTAATACCGCAACCAGTTAACTGACCCTGTACGTAACCAATGCGATACGTAACCCATCACTCAGATACAGTACGATCAAATTTTCCGCTGTCACGTATTCCAATTTTCTTCAAGTATAGCTACAAAGGACTCTCACAGCAAAAATAAGGACTAAAAAGATATACATCTATGAGAATTAAGTTGTAAATTTAACCCTCTGCTGCTCTGCACCACCAACTGGTATCTGGCTGAGAACATGAAGATTTCATGCAATTTCCGGCCAAAATTGATCGGTTCTGCTTTCTAGCAAATATTAACTTCTCGTGAATTTGGTCGTGTTTATTATTATCAAGTCTTCGCGTGAGTGCGCATGAGCGACATCTGAAGATAGCGACAAGCTTGGTGTATATTTGTCCAGTTAATTTGCCCTAATTTTACGTACAATTGTGGCCAAATGGCTCACATTTTCGTCAATACAAACGAGAATTAGGAATCACCAAAATGCTGTAGTCACGGAATGCCTAATTGACACCGTGGAGCGAGATTTTTGGCCTTTAATTTGGACGAAGGTATTGTCATGGCCAGCACTAGTGCTGGTCGAACGAAACACCGTGATTTCAGCCTCGGAGATTTCGAGTTATCTACAACTCTCGGTATGTAGTATTTACATTATAGCCGTAAACGTTTTAATGATTAAAATCATAAGCTAAGCCGTTGACCAAACATAATGTTTAAACGGTTTTTAGCTTTATTTAAATTGCCACATCCGTGACCCGAGTTCGCATAGCGTGAGTGCAAAATGTTTCCTTTGCAGGTACGGGGACATTTGGTCGTGTCATCTTGGCAAAAGAGAAGAAAACCGGCGAATATTTCGCGTTGAAAATCATGAGCGTTGCCGATATTATACGGCTAAAGCAAGTCGAGCACGTGCAGAATGAGAAAAGTATCCTCATCAAAGTGGATAACCCTTTCGTAGTAAATCTGTAAGTTGGTTTGTATATGTTTTGACTTTCGTTCTGGCGGTCTATGTGTGTTTGTATTGTGCTATCATGTTTCTCTGAGCTTACATTTGTTTAATCTAGCTTGAAATATACTGGGAGTGTCCTGCGATTAAGCTCTTGTTAGGAAAATGTTCAAATTACTATAAACCTCATAGCACTCTACTTCGTGGTCAAGTATATATTGCTTCTGTTTCTATGGGCATGGGCATTTAATTATTTTACATGTCTAAAAAGCATTTGATGAAGTCATTAGGTTGTGAACCGATCCTAATTTACTGTGTACACCAATTTAGGATCTGTGCACTTTCATTCTGTAATATTTCGGCTGTGCTATTGATTGGAACAATTAATACAACATGTTGTAACAAATTAACATCGCATGGAATTTTGTCTATTAAATTCCCAACGTACAATTTGCCACAAATGTTTTATTAATTTTCAATGTGTCCTAACTAACATTTGAGAATATTTAATTTTATAAGGTTTTGTGTTTGGAAAAGCAGTGCATTTACAACAAATTATTTATATTACATTTTTAATATTTTTGATGTTTCACAAAACGAGATTCTATATTCCATGCAAACTATGCTCAGGACAACCAGGAAATGATGTTCAGTGTAAATTGTACTTTGTAAAAGGATGTCCAGATTAATGTTATCACTTAAAAATCACTTAAACACTGTCTGGATATTTTAAACTGTCAGACAGGCAGTGCAAATTTTACATTTTTGTATGCCCTTTGAGGAAGTGTCTTCTTGAAATCATAAGGGACCTAGCTTAGCTATTACCAAAGAGTCCCCAACACTAGGACACCACTTAATAAGTAGGATGTATAGTGCCCATTTTATGTGTGTGTGTGGGAGGTGCATTGGTTTCGGTGTATGGGTACGAGTAGTGTCATCTTGTTTTACTGATGTCTGTAATTCAATCATACTTTTTGTTTTCTTGCAATAGACAATGATATAATGCGAAAAATGTGCACCTTAATTACGAGAAAAGGTACAGACATCGACGAAAATATTGCTAACCAAAATCATGCTACCCGTACATGTACACTGAAACCGGGGTATCTTAACCTCTCTAATGTCTCAGTTTTGAAAGGTTTCCATGTTGCTTTCTCAATTTTGCCTTTTAAACCCATTAATCAGGGCTTAAAATATCTTTTACAGGGCCGTCTGACAAAATGTCCAATGACTTTGAGTTGGACATATGTGTGATCATGATGTCTCCGACGATGATCTTCAGTTCAGTTTGGCTCGAAAATTTCCCGACCCTATTTTTTTCTGCTGACCCTATTATTTTTTCAACATGATTGACTTGACCGTGCGACCCTATTTTCTCCGGGTGGTTGCGGGCTGCTCATACAGCGTGCCAAAATGGCATCTGTTGTCACACTAATTATTAAACCAAATTGCCTAAATTCGTTCATAGGAAATACGTAAAACTATCTCTATTTAAGATTGTTGTTGGGACTCTACTGCAAATAGCCCATCAAAAACTGCCAAAACCATAAAAATATTCAAAAAAATTTATTTCCGATATGAAACTGGAACCACAGGTATTTTTTTAGGCCTCATCTGATTCTCCATTTAAAATATGAGCCTCTAGTCCTGGGCTAGGGTACATTTTGTCAGACAAAGCTACAGTTCAAACCACTCATCCACACACAGCTACTTTCCACAGAAAGTTCCCTAACATCCTGTGCTTGAATTGACTGAGTAATGTTTGTTATGCCCAACATAAAAGTACAAATTAATTAACCCATTGAGTGGCAGCACTCTGCCCTTGACAAGTAAGATTGTCTGGCTAGACAGAGTAAATAATAAAATGAGTGCATCAGGACGTTTTGCCACTTAAAGGGTTAATACACAAGTCATCAAGCAGTAAAACGATGAATTTTACATTTTAAAGACAAAAATACACAATATTCTCCCAATTTTGGGGGCTTAATGTCTCTTGACACAATATTCTCCCAATTTTGGGGGCTTAGTGACTCTTGATGTGTGCTACTTCGTTATTTTATTCTTTCTAATGCCAAACAATTTCACTTGTTTAGGAGAGTGTGCTTCCACTCAATGGGTTAATAACATTTGACATTGGGATAATTGACTTTTAATCCCCAAGCTGTGCAGTGTTTTCCTCCTTTAATTAAATATCTTATTGGACAGCATGTTAATTAATGAGTGATTCTAATTGGCCAATTTAAACAGATAATTACAATAGGGACATTTTAAGGAACACTTGTATTCTTGAGGTATCAAGGCCTGTCAGAAGTGAGGGGGACTAGGGCCTTTCAATCCTCAATAATGTCCTCCAATCAACCAGGATTGTATTTCTTTTCATACTTTATTTCTTTCTTACACAGGAAATTGCAATCAACTTAGCTGTAATAGTTTGTTGTCACCTTGATATTGTGTACATACCAATAGGAACAAAACCAATTCTTTATGCATGTGATTCCTACAGAGCAACCACTGTTTCAAAACTGGGAGGATAAGGTTGTAAAAAGGTGTAAAGCACATTACAAAATCTTGCAAATGCAAGAACGTCACAACTTTGATAAAAATTCCTCACACGAAGCACAAAAATGCTCCTCTTAAGCTTGAGAAATGCAAAATTTTCTAGGGGAACATGCCCCAGGCCTGCCTTGGATGAGCCCCAGATGACACTGTGAGGTACGGATGAGGGAAAAATGCAACCACTTTACACATGTTTAGCAGTTTGATCTGTTCATTTCTCAACCTCAAGCAATTTACCGGAAATTGCTTGAGGTTGAGAAATGAACAGATCAAACTGCTAAACATGTGTAAAGTGGTTGCATTTTAAATTTCACCATAAATTAAATGAAGAGGATTGTGGTACCAGTAGTAATTTACATACACCAATTGAAAACACAAATCATACATGGCAAATCACAGCATGTACCATAAACATACCTCTATAAATCACTTTAAGTACCTAATTTTTCATACAGTAATTTGGACAAGTCTGAATATTAGTATTGTCATCATAAGTGATTACGGAAGGCAAGTATTTGATTATTTTGATTAGTCAAATGTCGATGTATTGACGTGATTTGTGAGGGATTCCATTCAGTATACAAATATGAATCTTGTTTAAAGTTATTAAGGTAGTATACTATACCACCAAATATAGATTGGGGTGGGGGGATTCTTTGGGGACCCCCTGTAATTGTGCATCTATTTATATTGTGCATCTATTTATTTTTAAGATTGTGGACTTATCATGACAGCAAGTTTCTCTACATGATATTCGAGTATGTTTGTGGTGGAGAACTTTTTACTTATTTAAGAACTGCTGGCAAATTTAGTAATACAACTGGACTATTTTATAGTGCTGAAATTGTATCAGCATTAGCGCACTTGCATTCTGTAAATATTGTTTATCGGGACTTAAAACCAGAAAATCTTCTTCTTGATCTTGATGGTCATGTCAAAATTACAGACTTTGGATTTGCTAAAGAAGTTCAAGACAAGTGAGTGAAAGTTATTTTTATTTCTACCAAGACATTGCAGACATCGGGGAGAATATTGATTATTACCTATATTGAGTATTGCCATTGGGGATGCGATTTTAGATTACCAACTTAATTATTTCCGCCGTTTAGCTGTTGCTACAAATTTCAGTCCTGAGAAGTTTTGGACTTTTGATCATTTAAATTTAGGAGTAACTGTCTATATATACTGTTCTCACCAGAGGTTCATTTAGTGTTTAGAGTAAGACTGCGTGGAGGCAATCTAGGCCAACTGGATGAATCGAACCACACGCGTTTTTTTCACTTCTACCATAATCGTGGCATCATTGCATTGCCTTAAAATTGATGCAACTTTCCCTATAAAGCTATCTAGCGCTCGATCACCTTATTCAAGGCGAAATCATAATTTTCATACCCATATTTCGGACATGCAGCTGGTCCCGTATTTGTACACCTAATAATGGCCGTTTTTCTCTCGAAGATATATAAGCTGTATTTGTATAGGAAATTACACGGTCATGTGAACGGTGCAGTGGACGCCACAGTCTTGCAGTTGCAGGCGATGTAAATTGTGGTGGTTGCATGAAGATGGAAAAGGCGATGTCAAGAAAGAATTGGCAAGACGAATTATTGCCATGTTACGTTTCCAACAATTTTACTTTATTTGTGTTAGAACGTGGACATTGTGTGGAACTCCAGAGTATTTAGCACCAGAAATCATTCAAAGTAAAGGTCATAACAAGGCTGTTGATTGGTGGGCGTTAGGAGTATTAATATATGAAATGTTAATAGGGTGAGTATTAAGGTTAAAGTTTTGTTCCAGTTACAATAATTGTTTCCAAAACACGACAATACCCATACTAAGAAAATACAATTTCTACAGAAGCTGTCAAGTATGTAGTGGCCCTTAAGAGACTATCTATACTCCTTCTGTACCTAGGGTTACTTAAGAGCTATTTTTTTACATTCAATTTACACTTTGCAGATATCCGCCATTCTATGACGATAATCCATTTGGAATTTATGAAAAAATATTAGCAGGCAAGGTTGAGTGGCCCAAGACTATGGACAATTCACATGCCAAGTATGTGTTGTTTGCGTGAAGTTAATTATAAGTGCATATTTTCCTGTATCCCTACTGTATTCGCTAACCTAAACAATAGTCTATACAAGGAATACAGGTTAGTCACGTAAAAAGGAAAGGAACATAAAAGGGGCAATCGTCTTAAGATACCAACAAAACAAATATCATGTAAAAAATATCCATTGGCATTGTGTTTATTATTACGCAAACTACCAACCATGGCTGGTAGTTTGCGTAATAATAAACACAATATACTGACCGCTGAACAATGTTAGTAGACATTTAACCTTTTCAATTTACCTAACCCTGGTCGTATTCCTATAATAGTAACCCTAGTCCTTAACCGTATAACCTTAATAAACTCAACCTTACTTACCAAACCTTTGGAGAATTCGGCCCTTTGCTCCAGGAGATAGTTATAACTACTGACGGAATCCTCATTTTGCTGCTCTATACAAAAAGAGACGTTACCACTGAGGGTGGAAAATTGAGGCAAAGTTACAAAGGCTTAAGGTTTTGTTAAGTTTTGTTTTGGGTTTTTGTTTTCAAATTTGTCCGCGACTTCCAGCGAGTTGGTAAAACATTCTATAAGTGTTGATCGAATCTAACATTTCGTTCTTTAGAGATTTGATAAAGAAATTACTAGTTCACGATAGGACAAGACGATTAGGTTGTTTAAAGGTACCACTTACTAAATGTGTTTTACTGCTTAAATTATAATGTATTATTTACCTGCATGATGATGCCTTACATGCAAACGAACTTCAATTTAGGTATACGTAATTACGTACTGTAGATAAGTTATGATGTGTGAATACATTATAGTACTCAACTGATTTCTTTAGAATGGCGCAGAAGATGTGAAAGCACATAAATGGTTTCGTGGAATAGATTGGGAAGTAGTTATTCAAAGGAAATTACAGGTAATTTTTGGTACCCCCTTTGTGTGCATTAGACAATTTTGCTAGCGCTGATGGAATTTTTTCATAGTTGCAGTCTCCCAGGAACAAAATGTTTTTTCTTGGCCTAACTTTGACCCCGAGTAGGACCTGGCTAACTATATGTCTTCTTGCCCACAGCGAGGACTAAAACTAAGATTTGGATGTAGCAAAATAGTCTATCTCCAGACACTGCCAAGCCAAGCGAATAATGTAATGTATGTATATTGGCGATGATCCGGGAATCGCGGATCCAAATACTTGCAAAGTTGGTTTGTTTTCCAATATACAATAGCCATGCCAAGTTCGGGACTACTGTGTGTGTGTGGGGGGGGGGGGATGTAACTCCCCCAAAGGAAAGTCAAGAAAGGGGGCCCAATTTGCCCAGATAGGGGGTCCCGGAATGCTGGAACGTGTTAAATATTAAGGAATTTTCTTAAAAATTGAGGTCGAAAAAGACCTGAAAAAGTATTTCTAACCCCCAAATGTCCCAAACTAGTCTTTGGAAAAAAAATTAGGGACGTTTTGGAAAAATTGGATTCACCCCCAACCAGATTACCGCTCGGCACGGCCCTGAACCATGCAAACCTACAAGGTGCTTAGTATAATTATGGTTATGATCATTTTAAAATCACGGTTCCTACTGTATCTGTATGTTGTTAAAAGCAGTCATTTTGGTATGGGATTTGATATTTTTTATGTTTCGTTAGCCACCAATCGTACCAAAAATGCGGCATGCGGGCGATACCAGAAATTTCGATGAATATCCCGACGAAGATTGGCAGACTGCGTTACCTGTTAGTGGAAAACAACTTGAACCATTCAAAGATTTCTGAGATATCTGTTGTGTCTATAAAGATGTAAGGTATGGAATTCAAACGTTGACTGCAATACCGCGACAGAGCATGGGCAATCCCATGATCTAACCATGCATGGTCCCCCCACCGGTTAGGGGGAAGGGACAATACTCCGGTTAGGGTCAGGTACTCGAAACAAAAAAGTGCACCTGTATGACGATATACATAATAGAATCAAGGATGGCTGTATGATGTACATCATAGAAAAGAGACTATGCTAGCTGGTTTATTCAAAGCTAACATAGGTGCAATTTGTGTGCGCATGCATGCGGCAACAAAATATACTAGATTAATTAAAAAGTTACTTCGCTAGTTAATGTCTAAAGCTAAAAATGGTGGAATGAATTATTATTTTTGATATCGTTGTGCATCATACTTAAATAAAACAATGTATACAACATGTTTAGGTTTGGCAATTTTAATTTTTTTACAACTAATAAAAATAACAAAAATATTAAATAGATAGAGGAAGCTTATATAAATTTTGGTGAGGTTTCAAGCCAAAGGTATAGATTTAAGAAAATATTTCTTTTCCTAAATTTCATTTAATTATCTAAAAACCGTTCCTAGCCATTGTGTGTGCAGCAAACACTTCACGGTATTTCTATTACATGTATATTATTCATTATGATCTTTTGCGATTCAAGGCCGGATTCCACGAGGCGGAATTTTTCGACCGAAACGAAATTTCTCTTTGTCTTTTTACAATTAGTTCTGCTCGAGAGCTCTGAAACAAAGAGAAATTTCGATTCGGTCGAAAAATTTCGCCTAGTGGAAAACCGCCTTCACGCATGAAGTATGTGTGAAAAATTGAAAATGTTCCTGAATCTTGTTGCTAAGTTACATGTTTCTCCGCAACCGACAATATGGCGGTATAGTTTCCGTAATGTGGACCGTCCAACGATGAACGTATTTCACTGGATGTAGCTCTTACCATATACAGTAATAAGAGGATTAAAGGCTTGATTCCACGAGGCGGAATTTTTCGACCGAAACGAAATTTCTCTTTGTCTTTTTACAATTAGTTCTGCTCGAGAGCTCATGAAACAAAGAGAAATTTCGAAAAATTCCGCCTTGTGGAAAACCGCCTTAAGAGCGGTTGTACATTTACATATTAATTTATTAATTCTGTTTTTATTGTATTTACAGTGAGAAAATATCCTGTCAGACGAGATAAATGTCTACTTCGGTCAAGGAGGATTAGAGACAACGCAAGAAATGTGACCATTTGGTCGGACCAAACTATTAGCGAGCTTAAGGTACGTTTACACGCTGCGATTTGTCGGGCCGATTTTGCTCGCTGTATGTAAATAACCTGTCGTGAGTACTCGCGTCAGCACCTTGCGATTCACAAAATCGGGAGAAAAATCTGTAACACTAACACAGATTTTTCTCACGATTCAACGATTTTTCTTCCGTTGTAAAGTTGTTGAAAACTTTTCGCACGCAGAAAACTATAATATGAACAGACGAAAGAGCGGACAGCTTCAATTGAACGTTTAAATCGCTCAATGTCGAAGAAGGGGCATCGATTATTTACCAAAATCGGCCCGACAAATCGCAGCGTGTAAACGTAGCTTAAGCAAGCGACGTTTTTGTCAACACGGACGACAGATTACCGAGGGGGGGGGACTGGATTAAAAACTGTGTTTCTGTCATTCTGTGGTCATCGTCAGCACATAACTTTTTTTGTTTCCTTACACGAGTGCTATGGTGCAAAATGCCGCCAAAATTAGTTATACCAATTTCCGGGTGACAAAAACAGGTGTTGACAAAAACGTCGCTTGTTTAAGCCTGGCGCACACGATGCGATTTTAATCGGACAACATCAAAACATTTTGATGATATACGATTTTTATCGGTGGAATTTTAAGTATAACCAATCAGATTTCATGCTGTGATCACGTGCTTGTATTTATTTGGCAACATGGCGGCTACAGTTCAGGGAGCGTA